GCTGAACACTGTTCCTGGCTAAAATGCACCGGAAAGTTGAAGGCTGAACCTCCCAGTACTTGACAGGGTTGTTGAAGAGGCTGATGCCGCTGTACAGGGCTTTTTTCTTCCTTCGTCCTGTTGGACAGAAATCATTCACTCCCAGTTTGGCAATATGGTTGGAATGAAGGAAGACAACCTGCAGCAATAGGAACAGAAAAATACAGGAGTTGAAATGAAAATGGAAAAAAATATTTCTTAGGATGTAGGTGACTGAGGTTTGCTACAACATCAGTTCCATGCAGACCTTGAGAGTAACAAGAGCTTAAAATTTGTGTTCAGTCTTTAAAAAAGTCTTCCTCCTGCCCCAGTCTCTCCCACAAAGAGAAGTCATAGGCATTTTGTCAGTGTATTTTTAGAATAATTGCACTCTATTCTTAGGGAATTTGTTTCTAAAATGCAATTTTATATTCTCTTGTAGTAAGAATTATAATGATGCGGTATAATAGTCTCATTATCTAGAAAACTTTTTGAGCGTAGTGTTTTGTCCTTCCTTTCCTTTCCTAGGAAGTGTTCCTGCAGTTTGATTTTGTTTCTTTCTTTAATAAGTTTTTGTGATTTCAGGCTCTCCTAGTAGGAAAGTCATGGCAAAATATATGTGTCAGTTAATTATGCTTTTTGCTTGTGCAAAAGTGCTTATGCTGATCAGTGTGACAGTGGGAAAGTGAAATAACTCAGAACTCCCAGAGCTGTCTGATAAATTTAGTGTATGACCTGCAGATATTTTAGTTCAGGTAATCCAGGAGGAACCTTCTTCAACTTGTTTTTTTCCAGGTGGATTTCACGTATACTTGGGATGTTGGCAAAACTTCCATTTTCCACTTCTTTGATTTTATTATTGCCGAGGCCTAGCCTAGAAATAGCACAAGGAACATTTAATTAAAGATTAATTGAGATTCACAACAGCATTAGACAGCTTGCTTTTTATTTTTAAGATTGAAATACACAGGAGTAAACACAGAGGGAGAAAAGAATTGGGGGAAGATGATGAAATCTTAACTTTGATAGGAAAAAATCACCATTGACCTAAATAATTTGAACTCCACTTAAAGAAGATTGGCTCACAACTGTTATCAGTTATCTGATGTAAGCAATTGTTCAGTTTTGCATGCAGTTCTTGTAATTATAGTGGCAAGTGTTTAAATTATAAATATTGAGCTGCTTATGAAATAAATCATTTTACCAAGTAGTACAGCTGCAAAGTGTCATAAGTTCTAAGAAACAGCCAAATAGCAAGTCTTGTCTAGAAAGGTGTTTTTAATGTATAGCTTATTTTTAAAATATAAGGGTTTTTTACTAAGCAGGACTATCTTCTTTGCTACTTTCAGACTTCCCTTATATTTTTTGCTATAAATCTTTGGCCTGCTTTGCTCAGAAGGTGATTCAGAAGCTGGAGCCATCGGTCATGTGGAATGGCTGTTTCTGCCATCCCCTTTTGCTCCATTCTTTCCTGATTTCTTCAGAAACTGAATTCGGTATCTAAAGGCAGTTCAGTAATTTCTGTTACCAAATTCAGTGCTGCTCAGCCATATTTTCAGAGTTCTTAATTGAGCTTTACAGACAGAACTTCTTTCTCTCCTAGCTCAGTGATACATTCCTCAGAAACACACATTTTTATTTAAACCTCATTGCATTTGAAAGCACTTAGCAAGATGTTTCCTTTACCAGCTGCTGTATTTATGAGAATAAATGTATGAGAATTAGAATAACTTAGGATGGTTATATTTTGGTTTTTTCCTACTTTTCTGTTGCAGGCTGTTGGCAAACATGTAATAACAAGACTAATGCAAGAGTTTGGGGGTGTGCTTGGGTTTTAAAGTTTGGGCTTATCTAGAGCAATACTTACTAAAACACCTATAATTTTTAGTCTCTTTTCTTCCATTAACAAGAGCAGTATCTTGTTTATAGATAACAAGATAGAAGAGAAATAATAAGAAATAAGAGATCTTCCTGGGCATGACATTTTAACAAATAAAGGGATTCACCCTTGGAATTTTACCTTTGAAGGTCTTTATAACGGTTAAAATCCTCAAGTTCAATTCCTGTGATCTTATTGTCATCTAAGTGAAGCTCCAGAAGACTGGAGGGCAAATCTGATGAAAAAAATACACAGTGTGAAAAACAAAGTCAACTTATTTTTTTTGTTGAAACATTTATTATGTTCCAAAAAGCTTCTTTCCTTTGTATTTAGAATTGGGTGAAGAATCTTGCATCAAAGAAATTGGTATTACATAGAAGTATGTTAATGAAGAAAATCACTAATATAATTTGATTTGAAATAATAGCTTAAAATTAAGCTGTGGAAGGTCATATGCTAATTAGGATATATAAGAGCTCCAAAATTTGGTAATATTTCTGGCTTCCTTTATAACAACTCTCATGGTTACTTTGTCAGAGATGTTAATCCTGTGTTCTGTACATTTATCTCAGAGTCTGTAGTCAAAGCCTGTGGAACCAGTTTTTTGAAGATTTGTAATTTTTTTATACATAACATAGCAGTTGTGTCACAGCTGCTAGGATGTGACTGTGAGGAAAGCTTTTGGAGTACTCTAAGAAAAATTGTGGTATTTGATAGCTCTTTCCCACGCCAGAATATTTTCTCTTGTGTTTCCAAATATTCCAAATCCAGGCTGCCTGGTGAATGGACCAGGAGGTGGCGAATCTTTCCACAACATCCTCTTGGTGAGGGCAAGGAAAGCTCATCCCAGCTTGAATTTGTTTGCTGATGCTGGGCTCAGTTTTTCCCAGCCTCTGTCTAGATGGCACCTGACACCGAGCAATTCCCGCTGCTCTCTGGGGCTGGGAGAGCGCTGCTCCCGTTGCCCTTGGATCTTGAAGGGATGCGGCTGCTTCCCGACCTGCCTTTATTCCACTTGGAATAAACTTTGTTTGTCTGGGCTTTGTTCCAGTTTGCACCCAAGCTCGCAGTTCCAGGTGCCTGAGTGACAATATCCAGAGGGAAGAAGGACACCCACCTGTCCAATGCACATTTTTAGTACCTTTTATAAACAACACTTTTTTAAACCTTTGCACTGTTGTAGCATTCGCAGAGAGAAGCATCTACAAACTCAGTTTGCATTTGTGGTGAATGAATTCACCATGAAATCCTGTTTATGTATCTGACACCACATTTTGGACCTCATGCTGTGTGTCTTTATAGGAGATTGCTCTATAACAAAGACAAAATTGGAATCATTTTATGTTGGGCTTTTTTTGGTGCAAAGTCACATGAGCTGATACTAGATTGTTTTGGGGTTTTTTTGTGTTAGGAAGTATTACTATAGGCAGACAGGCTTTCTGATTTTAAAGTTA